AGGGACCAGTCACTAAAAGACTTGAAAGAAGTGATTATTCACAGTTCATGATGTGCATCTGTTATTTGCATAGTGATTGTGGCTGTAAAAGCTAACAGTAAATTTTGTACTTAGGCAGTTACTCACAGTTAACAATACTGCATACATAAATCTGAACCATGATTGAGGGACTTTTGCCATCAAGTCGGTTTCGACTCAAAGCGACCCTGTATAGAGTTTCTAAGGAGCAGCTGGTGGTTTTGAATGTCATCCTTGTGGTTCACAGCCCAGTGCCGACCCTACAACACCACACTAGAAATCCTATTAGGGGACTAGTATTATTTAAGTAAACTGAAGTAAGTGCAATTCATGCATATCAGAACCAACCAAAAGTGAGGAGTGGCTTTATTTATTTGGCTATGTCTAGATCTAAGCTAGGCCTAGGACTTCATTTAGTGTTGTAGCTATGGTGAGCACTAAGGTGGCTATTATGGCTAGGGCTAGAAGTAGGGAGTGCTTTGTCTAGTTGGAGAGTTATAGTTAGGTTTATTTTTTATTTTTCTTGGTATCAATTTGGTTTTCATTTCATTTGGTTGTTCTGTAACTACATTATTCTCTTTTTTTACCTTATATATGTTTTTTTGTAAACTAGTATATCTGGTTCCTTATTTTCAGTCTGGTAGGTTTGTTTTACTTTGGATACTTCTATAACTGAATTGAGTTCTGGCTGATACTGTCAGGTATATTAATCTCAAGTTGTTGTCTGTTCTTGTTAGTTTTCTGAACAAAGAACTTGCTTTAACATTTTTTGTAAGATTGGTCTGGTTTTTACAAATTCTTTTAATTTGTCTGGAAATGTCCCAGTTGCATCATCGTATTTGATAGACAATTTTGCTGGGTATATAGTTGTCAGATCAGAAGGCCTGGAGGCCCCAGGATGCTCAGCCTGAGTTTCAGGATGGTATTTTATCGTCAGCATTAACATTCAAGTGTGTATCATTTCCCCAACAGCAGATAATAAGACGATCTGTGGTCTTCTATTGAAGCAAGAAGACCATTCCTGGATGGTGGAGAAAGAAGTGGGAAAGTCCAGGTGAGTGAATGACAGCAGTCAGCACAGTGTTTTCAGTGTGCTCTGAGTTAATGCACTGGACTGTAAAGTCAGTTTGAACCGCAAGGTCAGCGGTTCAAGCTCACCAGTGGCTCCTAGGAAACCCTCTACAGAGTTGCTATGGGTTGGAACCAACTCAGTGGCACTTAGCAGCAACAGCAATCTTGAAGTACCAATTAGTGTGATTTCCTTAGATCCCTAAATGAGGTGGTTGTTGTTAAGCGCCTTTCAGTTAGTTCTGACTCATAGCGACCCTATATAGGGTTTCTGAAGAGCAGCTGCTGAATTTGAACCGCTGACCTTGCAATTCAAACTGACCTTGCAGTCCAGTGCATTATCCCACTGCGCCACACCAGGACTCCTAAATGACATTACTAGTCATCATGTTTCTCTTTCACGACTGTACATTGTTTTCATCAGATTCTAAAGGGACTGGTGCCCCACTTCTCTCTATGCTGGATGGCAGTATTTCCTCCTTCTATGTGCACTGCCTCTGTTGTGATCTTTCATTAGTAACCTCAGTCTCACATCCCCCTATGGGTATAAATGCCTTTCCTCATGCATACCTTACAGGTATAAAGTCTGTGCATATTTTTTTTGCTATTTAGATTCTTTTTTATTACTTAAAGTTTTCTCTTCTTCCATTATTAAATGCCTTGGGAGTTATATTTTACATCTGTAGTCATACTTCCTATTGTCTTCTTACCCACTTCCCTTAGCCTGCCAGTAAACTCTTCCCTCTTTCCTGTCCCCATGTATTTCCTGCCGGAAGTTACTAGCTTATTAAAGCCAGTGCTGATTTTCTGCTACTGTTTGTATATGTTAGTGTGTGTGTGTATATATATATATATATATATATATGTTTGAGTGTGTCTATTTGTTTTTTTAATATAATACATGGAGTTGTAAAACTTCTTTGATCAAGGTCTGTACTGAAAGTCTCTTAACTCTGACCCTTAGTCCTATAGTTCCTTTTCAAAGTTGATGATAGTGTTGTTACAGTGCTATCAAGTCTGTCCTGACTTAGAGCTGCCTTGTTTAGGGTTTCTAAGGCGTTAAATCTTTTCATAAACAGAAAGCCTTATCTTTCTCCCACAGTATACCTGGTGGGCTTAAACTGGTTCACAGTCCAGTGCTTAACCCTTTGGAGCCACCATTCTCCCATTCTCCCTTTTCAAAGATGTATTTACTTGTAAAAGTTTCACCTGTATGTTTGTTACTATAACAGCTGATCCTTGAACAGAATGGGTGTGGACTGTGCAGGCCAGCTTAGACAGGGACTCTGATTTCCTGTTATTAGTGCAGTAACTGCTAGTGCCTCACTCTTCCATCCTCCCTAGCGGGAGAGATGAATTGCTCACGTGGAGAGAATTGTCGCATTTTAAGTAGATACTCATAACGCTTGAGCTCACTGGACTAGCAGCAGGAAAAAGTCCACATATAGGTAAACCCATGCAGTTCAAACCCATTTGTTCAAGGGTCAAATGTAAATTATATGTGGATTTTGAACTGCATGAGAGATTGATGCCCCTCACCCCCCTGTGTTGTTTAAGGTTTAAGTAGATATGAAGCAGCCAGTGTATATTATATACCTGTGCTGCAAATGTGTGTATAACTCTCGTTTTCTTTTCATGTAAATGGTGGTATGTTATATGTTTGATGTGCATAATTTTCTCTTACAATTCTCAGTTGATACATAATTATTTAACCAGTTTCTTATTAATGGACTTAGGTTGTTTCTAGGCTTCTTATTGAAGATACACAAGTACATATTCCTGTTTATATTGCTTTGCAGAGATGTAACTACTTGGTAACTTGCTCTTAAGTAGAAATGATGGGCCAAAGTTACATTTTTCATAAATTTGATAGAAGTAGGTTCTTTGCTTTCAGTTGGAGCCCTGGTGTAGTGCTGTGGGTTAATGTGTCAGACTGCAAAGTCATTTGAACTGTAAGGTTGGCAGTTCAAGCTCACCAGTTGCTCCTTGGAAACCCTATACAGGGTCGCTATGGGTCGGAATTGACTCGACGACACTTAACAACAGGTTCATTGCTGTCAGTAGACGTAAGCCAATGTATGTTTTTATCAACGTGGTAGATTCATACATTAAACAAGTATTTATTGAATGATATGTTCCAAGAAGTTCATGGAAAAACAAAGTTCAAAGATGAAGAAATTTTTCCATGAACTTTTTAAAGCCAACATACTAGGCACCCTTTTGGTACTGAGGGAATGCCAGCCATTAAAACAGTTAAGAAATTCCTGTCTGTACATTTTTTTTAGTTACTGTTTTCCCCTTTGTTGTCATTTTAATGGAGTGCTAAGAGGAGGCAGTTGCTGATTATTGCCTTTCTTAGGCATCCCCAGTAGATTTTCTTAATTTTATATCATTTATTTTTATTACAGCCCCTTCACAAGGGTTTTGTTCTCAAAATGTGATTGAGACATTGGTTATAAGAATCCTTTCAGACAGAGGAGAATGGCTATCAGCGTTAGTCCCATAAAAGCACGGTCTGAAATTTTGTTGGTATATTGTTGTTGTTAAGTGCCACTGAGTTGGTTCTTACTCATAGTGACCCCTGTATAGCGCTTCTGGGGAGCAGCTGGTGAGTTTGAACTGCCAGCCTTGCAGTTAGTAGTCATTCCAGTGCTAATCCTATAGCACTATACCAGGAATATTGTCGTCAGATGCCATCAAAACAGTTCTGACACTATATAGGGTTTCTAAGGTGCAGCTGGTGGGTTTGAACTGCTGAACTTGTGGTTCAAAGTCCAGTGCTGATCCTGCAGCGCCACACCAGGAGTCCACACCAGGAATATGTTGTTGTTGTTGTTGTTAAGTGCCTGCGAGTTGATTCTGACCCATAGTGACCCTATATAGGGTTTCCGCGGAGTACCTGGTGAGCTTGAACTGCCTACCTTGTGATTCAAAACCGACCTTGCAGTCCAGCGCGTTAACTCACAGCGCCATACCAGGACTCCACACCAGGAATATAATAATGAAAAATTCACTGATAATAGTGATAAATATTTATTAAGTGATTACCATGTGCCGGCTATGTTTCTAAGCACTTCATACATTAATTCCATTAAATACTAATCCTTTTTGCTCTTATTTTAGAAGAAACCTGAGAAAATGAGTCACAGAGCGACAAGAAGACTTAGAAGACAAGTGGCATCCATCTGCAGTGAAGTATAGACTGAGCAACAAGGCATGAATATATGAACATTGGGAAAAGACTTCACTTGACCTCAGACTTTATTATCTTATGGCAACTCATCTTTGAATTTACTTCGAAAGTTTGAAACACAATTTGTATTTGCTTAATCTTGGGTGGAAGTGCTTGCTGTAGGAAAGAATCATCCATTTAATTAATTTAGAAATCTGGCTACAATACACTCCTTATAATAATTTGTTGTTGTTGTTAAGTGCTGTTGAGTTGGTTTTGACTCATAGTAACCCTGTGTAGCGTTTCCGAGGGGTGGCTGGTGGGTTTGAGCCACCGATCTTGCAGTTCAGTGTGCTATCCTGCAGTGCCCCACCAGGGTCCCTTAATAATAACAAATCCCCTTCAACGTTAAAGCAGTGTGGGAATACCTTCAGTTAAAAAAAAAAGTAGAATCCCTTTGAAACCAGATCACTAATACTGGAGAATACCGTATGAATTTACTAAATGTGAGAAAATTTTCACTCACGTGTTATGTCTCAGTAAATATAGAAGTTATGCTGGAGAGAAATCTTGTGGTTCTAAGAAATATTGAAGAACTTTTAGCTAGATGACAAATCTCATTGGACAGAAGAAAATTCTTACTGGAAAAAAATCAGTGAGTGTTAGAGAGCTTAATTAAATATTACAGAGTTTATATTGAAAGAAACTTGTACTGAATATGATATAAGTTTTTATTCAGATCTCTTCTCATACCCTTCATTTAAAAGATTATACAGGGAAGAAGGTTTGTAAATGTAAGAAATGTGGAAGAACTTTCTGCTGCAAGTAAATCATTATTCATCAAAAAGTTCATACTGGAGAGAAACCTTGTGAATGTGGGAAAGCTTCCATTCAGATGTCAAACCTTAATCAGAAGAAAATTTATAGTGGGGAGAACCCCTTTGCCTGTAAAGTATGTGGGAAAGTCTTCAACCAAAAATCAAATCTCACGGAGCATGAACATTTTCATACAAGGGAGAAACCTTTTGAATGTAATGAATGTGGAAAAACCTTCAGCCAAAAGCAATATGTCATTAAACATCAGAACACTCATACAGGAGAGAAGCTTTTTGAATGTAATGAATGTGGAAAGTCATTCAGTCAGAAGGAAAACCTCCTTACTCATCAGAAAATCCACACTGGAGAGAAACCTTTTGAGTGTAAGGATTGTGGGAAAGCTTTCATTCAAAAGTCAAATCTCATCAGACACCAGAGAACTCACACAGGAGAGAAGCCTTTTGTATGTAAGGAGTGTGGGAAAACCTTCAGTGGCAAATCAAACCTTACTGAGCATGAGAAAATTCATATTGGAGAGAAACCCTTTAAATGTAATGAATGTGGAACAGCTTTTGGCCAAAAGAAGTACCTCATAAAACATCAAAACATTCACACTGGAGAAAAACCCTATGAATGTAATGAATGTGGAAAAGCTTTCTCTCAACGAACATCACTTATTGTGCATGTGAGAATTCATTCAGGTGATAAACCTTATGAATGCAATGTGTGTGGAAAAGCCTTCTCTCAAAGTTCATCTCTTACTGTGCATGTGAGAAGCCACACAGGTGAGAAACCCTATGGTTGTAATGAGTGTGGGAAAGCCTTCTCTCAGTTCTCAACACTTGCTCTACATTTGAGAATACATACAGGTAAGAAGCCTTATCAATGTAGTGAATGTGGGAAAGCTTTCAGCCAGAAGTCACACCACATTAGACATCAGAAAATTCATACTAATTAAAAACTCTTGAAAAAGGGAAAGCCTTTGTCAGGAATTCACACCTCATAGTACATAGAAATAATTATTCTGACACAAACACCATAAATGAGGGAAACTAACAAAGCTAAAAGATTATTGGATTCCAGAGTCCAAGTCATACTAAAGAGAGCATTTGTATGTGAAATGACTGCCCAGCAGCAACCTGCAGTAAACAACAAAGATAATATTGAAGCCGGAATTTGGAACAAGAAGCAGATCCCTGTTGTTATCATTGCTGTTAGCATGGGTTTGGATATACTCACTAATGTGATAAGAAAAATAAATTTGGAAAAGAAGAGCAATGTTTTTGAGGCGATAACGTTCATCTACACAAAATATTGTGGTATTGATGCAGCAGAGCAGAAGAGAACCCAGAAACCAATCTATGCATTTAGTAGAATTTGGAAATGATAGAAATAGCATCAGGAAGGAAGGAGATAATTGTGCTATTTAAAACACTTGGTTTAGATGTTTCTCTAGAAGATAAAAGTTAAATCCAAAGGTATTTAAAACAGGAACATGGGAGTTAAGGAATCGTGCATAAAAAAAAAAATCTTAAAAACATCTAGTAATTCTACTCAAGTATGTATAGTCAGGAAATAAATACCAGGATATATTCTGTGGCATGATTTGTTATGTCTAAAATTTGGGAGCAACCTAAATGTTCATTGGGATTGAAAAAGAAAATCCTTATGGTGAAATAGGCAAATGTAAGATGCTATAAGATTTATCTTCATTAGTTAGATCTCAAAAAATTATGTTGAGGGAGAAAGTTAAATTGCAGAATGATACATTTAGTGTATTGGGTTTTTTGTAAATTTTAAAACTTTCCTCAAAATTCAGTACTATGTATTGATAATGGATAAATATATGTTTGTAAATATAGAAAAACTGAATGGGAAGGATACTGAACAAACTCTTGATAATGGTTGCCTGTGAAAAGTGACTACAGAAAGGGAATGAAAGTGGGAGGTAGGATGGGGATTGGCTAAAGAGGGCTTCAGCTTTATATATATAAACATCCTTTTCTCTTAAAAATGAAAACTTAATGTAAGTAAATATATAAATATAGTGGTTAATTCTGGATTGTGGTATATGGATACACCTTGTCTTATTTTTTGTACTTTTCTGTATTTTTCAATTCTCAAGATAAGAATGGGGGTGGGGTAGGGGGGTGGGAAAGCTGTACAGGTAGAAATAATGTTCTCATGGGTTCATTCTCAATCAAATACTAAACTTTTATAAGAATATTTCTAGAATTTTATCAGTGATGAGTGGATGAACTTGTTCCTAATGTAATATGAAATTATCTATTTTATTAAAATTTTAAAATGATAGCATAATACAAATCTGTTTTAATTTATTGTTACATATAGTGGTTACGAGTTGGGCTGCTAACATCACGGTCAGCGGTTCAAAAGTACCAGGCAATCCATGGGAGAAAGATGAGGCTTTCTGCTCCCATAAAGATGTACAGCCTCGGAAACCCTACGCAGGATCGCTATGAGTCAGAACCAACTCCACAGCACATAACTACCACCATAATAGTTGACAGTATATCGTCTCTACACATTTCTAACATTTTACAACATACCATATGGACTTAAAAGTTTTAAGGACTTTTAATTGAATAAGTATACATGCACATGCTTCATATAATTTGTATCGTTTTTAGATAACTGGATTTTGGAATGTCAGATTTCCTGTTCTGAAAATTTTCATGAGGCTAGCATATGCATTAAAGTTTATCATTACATTTTTAAGAAGAAAATCATTCCACTGCCCAGAAATCCACAAATCATTCAGTTAAATACTAACACCTAGATCTTGGTCTTAATCTACAGAATGTTTTTTTATTTTGCAGACCAGGAGAGTGGAATGAGGGTGAGAATGAAAAAACTGATACAGCTCTCTCATTTAATCCTTCAGATAATTTATTTGATCCCTTATCATAATGTAATGATATAGAGTGTTCAATAATCCTTTAAGCATTATGTAGCATTAAAAAAAAAACCAAAACCCTCAAACTGTATCTTTTATTAGCCCTTTATAAGAATGTCCATGAGTTATATAAATAAACCTCATTCAGAATCTTGGGTTCTAATCTTTGTTATCTAAAAAAAGGTTACTATGTGGAATTGAAACATTTTTAATTGTCTTTGTCATCCACAGGAGGAAAACAGTGTATAAATGTTTCAATCTAAGATACTTTCCTAAACTGTTTGTCTTCTTTCTCATGAGTTTCATATACCTCTGTAATCTCTTGTGAGGTTTAGAAATACCAGAGTAAATCAAACCTGATTTACGCTAAAGAACAGGTTTCTGTAAATTTAACCATGTCACTGTAGTCTTTTTTACATTATTTGTATAAACAAGTTATTTATTATTATAGTGGTTACGAATTGGGCTGTGAACCTTAAGGTCAGCAGTTTGAAACTATCAGCTGTTCCGCAGGAGAAAGATGAGGTTTTCTGCTCTTGTAAAGCCTCGGAAACCCTGTACAGGGTCGCTATGAGTAGGAACGGACTCCACGGCACATAACCACCACCACCAATGACTATTTAAAATTGGGAAACAAAAAAGTCAGGAGGAGCCAAATCAGGACTGTACGGTAGATGCCTAATGATTGCCGTCAGACTCTCAAAATTACCTTCCTCTTTGAGATGAAAGAATGAGCAGGAACATCACGGTGGAGAACGACTGGTGAAGCTTTTCTGGGCGTTTTTCTGCTAAATCCTTAGCTTTTTTTTTGCAGAACATACTAATAATCAGATGTCATCTTTCTTTGGCCCTCCAGAAAGTCAACAAGCAAAATGTCTTGAGAATTCCCTCAAATTGTTGTCATGACCTTTGCTCTTGACTGGTCTGCATTTGCTTTGACTGGACCACTTCTACCTCTTGGTAGCCATTTTTTTATGGTGCCTTGTTTTCAGAACTGCTCTGATAAAAGCCATGTTTCATAGCCTGTTAACAGTTCTTTGAGGAAATGCTTCAGGATCTTGACCCTGCTTGTTTAAAATTTGCATTGAAAAGTCTGCATTGTCTGCAGCTGATCTAGGTGCAACAGTTTTGGCACCCATCAAATGGAAACTTTGCTCGACTGTACTTTTTTTTTTTTTTAAGAGTAAGTGAAGCAGGAAATGAGAAACTAGGGGTACCAAAAAAAAGGGTTTTAGCATGGCCAAGAAAGAGACAATAGGCAACTTTTAGAAGACAGTCATACTGACTGTTAAGATCAGGAAAGGTGTGTGCCAGTGTTGAATCCAACCCCCAAATTTATGCTGAGCAAATAACTTGAGAAGCTGGATTCTATGATGGAAGTTTGCATCAGGATTGGAGATTCATTAACAACTTGCAATATGCAGATGATACCACCTTGCTTGTAGAAGCAGAGACTTGAAATGCTTACTAATAAAGATCAAAGACTACAGCCTTTCAGTATGGATTACATGTCAGTGTAAATAGAACAAAAATCATCACAGCTGACCTAATAGCATCATGATTAATGGAGAAAAGACGTTAACTTCATTTTACATGGATTCACAGTCAACACGCATAGAAGCAGCAGTCAAGAAATCAAACATACTGAATTAGGCAAATCATCAAAAGACTACTTGAAAGTATTCAAGAGCAGAGATAGCAGTTTGAGGACTAAAATGAGCCTGTCACAGGTCCCTGCCATTTGCAGTCGCTTCATGTGCATGGAAAAGTTGGATAATGAAGAAGGAAGATCATAGAAGAATTGGTATATATTTATGGTGTTTGAGAAGAATATTGAAAGTGCCATGGACTGCCAAAAGAACAAACAAATCTGTCTTGGAAGAGAAGCATCCAGAATACTCCTTAGAAGCCAGGATGGCAAGACTTAACCTCTTGTTCTTGGAATATCAGGAGGCACCAGTCCTAGGAGAAGGAAATTGTGCTTAGTAAAATTGAGGATCAGTGAAAGAGACCTTTAATGAGATGGACTGACACAGTGGCGAAAGCAGTGGTCTCAGATGTTACAACTGGGATGGCACAGGAGTGGGCAGTGTTTCATTTTGTTGTGCATACGACCCTTATTGGCCAGAACCAGCTTGATGGCACCTCACAACAATGCTCACCCCAAAAGCTCTAGGAGAAGATCCTTTCTTCTCTCAACTTCTGGTAGCCATAGGCATTCCTTGGCTTGTAGTTGTAGAAATTGCAGCATAACTTCAATTTCTTTGTCCATTACCATATGACCTTCTTCCATGTGTCTGTCTCAATGTCATCGCTCACATTAGGATCTATCCTACTCCAGTAAGACATAATGTTCACTGATAGCATCTGTAAAGACATTTCCAAATAAGGCCATGTTCACATGACCAGGGGTCAGGACTTCAACTTACCTTTATGGAGCACACCCATCTGGCAGTAATGAGCAGTATTAGAGGAAGTCAACTAAAACAGGTTTTAAATAAACTCAGTCTCATGGCATAGTAAATGTCCAGGTTTCAATTAAAAAAAAAAACTCATGAGGCTGAAATTAGGAAGAACTGTGAATAAAAATCAATAGGTACCAACACCAAGATGATAGAAATACTAGAATTATGTGGTAAATTTAAAGATTTAAATAAATTTAAAATAGTGTAAGCAAAGAAAGAAGACATAAAGAAGAAACCATTGGAAATTTTAGAACAATTAAACTAATGAATGGACATGGTACAAACAACCATTATAAGAAATGTTATGGCCCTTCCTCAAAAAACTAGAAATACAAATACCTTACGATCCAGCAACCCCATTTCTAGGTATATACTCTAGAGATCTAATGAAAGAGACACAGACAGACATGTATGTATATTACAGCATCATTCACAATAACAAATGGAAAAGGTCTGAATGCCCTTCATCAGATGATGGGTAAGCAGAATGTGGTGCATACGTAACAATGGAATGTTAAAAAGAACATAAATGCAAAATAGCATGGATTTGAAGGCTATATAATGCTCAGTGAAATA